TCATGTCCAGGTGTCTCTGTTTCTGTCTGTCCTCAGGTGTGATGTAAGGATCATGTCCAGGTGTCTCTGTTTGTCCTCAGGTGTGATGTAGGAATCATGTCCAGGTGTCTCTGTCTCTGTCTGTCCTCAGGTGTGATGTAGGAGTCATGTCCAGGTGTCTCTGTTTTTGTCTGTCCTCAGGTGTGATGTAGGAGTCATGTCCAGGTGTCTCTGTTTCTGTCTGTCCTCAGGTGTGATGTAAGGATCATGTCCAGGTGTCTCTGTTTGTCCTCAGGTGTGATGTAGGAATCATGTCCAGGTGTCTCTGTCTCTGTCTGTCCTCAGGTGTGATGTAGGAGTCATGTCCAGGTGTCTCTGTTTTTGTCTGTCCTCAGGTGTGATGTAGGAGTCATGTCCAGGTGTCTCTGTTTCTGTCTGTCCTCAGGTGTGATGTAAGGATCATGTCCAGGTGTCTCTGTTTGTCCTCAGGTGTGATGTAAGGATCATATCCATGTGTCTCTGTTTGTCCTCAGGTGTGATGTAAGGATCATGTCCAGGTGTCTCTGTTTCTGTCTGTCCTCAGGTGTGATGTAAGGATCATGTCCAGGTGTCTCTGTCTGTCCTCAGGTGTGATGTAGGAGTCATGTCCAGGTGTCTCTGTTTCTGTCTGTCCTCAGGTGTGATGTAGGAGTCATGTCTCTGCAGACGGTGCTGCAGCAGAGAATAAGCTCCGCCCAGGCGTTGCTGCAGCGGGCGGAGCACCTCTGTCAAGGTGTGGAGGGTCACCAGAAGCTGTGTGGTAAACTGCGGGCGGAGCTGCGCTTCCTGCGACGGGTGGAGGCCGGAGAGCTGCAGGTCAAAGAGTCTCACCTGCACAGCACCAACCTGACTCACCTGACGGCCATCGTGGAGTCGGTGGAGAGTCTGGAGGACGTGTTCGCTCTGCTGCATGTCTTCACCTACCAGGACGCCGCCGGCTGCAGACAGACGCTGGTGGTGGACGTGGTGGCTAACAGGGGACACACCTGGGTGAAGGCGGTGGGCAGGAAGGCGGAGGCTCTACACAACATCTGGCAGGGGCGGGGCCAGTATGGAGACAAGAGCATCGTCAGCCAGGCCCAGGACTTCCTGCAGGCCAGCCGCCAGCAGCCCGTCCAGTACCGCCACCCCCACATCGTCTTCGCCTTCTACAACGGGGTCTCCTATCCCATGGCTGAACGCCTCAAGGACATGGGCGTTGCCGTCCGCGGGGACATTGTTGCTGTCAACGCTGTGATGACAGAGGAAGGAGGGGAAGAGGAGGAGCAGCAGGAGGAGGAGGAGGAGGAGGAGGAGGAGGAGCCAGTTGAAGATAAAGATGAAGATGAGGAGGAGGAGGAGTCTGAGCTGACACGAGTCGACCGCGGCACGGTGGTGGCCAGCCTGGCGTTTCCCGCTCAGGTGAAGGTGGAGGAGTGTCAGCGTGTTAACCTGGACATCACCACGCTCATCACGTACGTGTCGTCGCTGAGTCACGGGCGATGTTACTTCACCTTCAGGGAGCCCGTGCTGACGGAGCAGGCGGCACAGGAGCGCCACCAGCAGGTGCTGCCGCAGCTCGACGCCTTCATGCAAGGGAAGGAGTTGTTCGCCTGCCGTGCCGCCATCGGCGACTTCCAGCTGATCCTGGACACGCTGGGCGGGCCAGGTGAGAAGGAGCGGGCTGAGAAGCTGCTGGCCCGACTTCACGTGGTGGACGACCAGCCGTCGGAGCGCACATTGCGCCTCACACCCAGCGCCAAGGTCAACCGCCGCTCGCTCATGATCTTTGGTACAGGAGACTCACTGAGAGCCGTTACCATGACGGCAAACAGCCGATTCGTCAGGGCGGCGGCCAATCAGGGCGTCCGATACAGCGTGTTCATCCACCAGCCGAGAGCTCTGACTGAGGGCAAGGAGTGGAGGGCCTCGCCTGTCTCTGAGCAGGGGCTGATGGGAGTTTGAGTTCATACACAGGTGCATTAATCAATGTGTCATGTAAATATCATCTGATCATAAATCTGTAATCAAAGATCAATAAAGTGTCACGCCCACTTCCTGCTCTGTTGTCAACTGTTACTGCAGGTCACCTGGTGTGTCACACAGGTGTGTCGTGTTACTGTTCACACACAGAACAGATCAGCATAATAAATTAACAGTAATCTGTATGACACAATGAGACAGAGAGAGAGA